GTCGCGAGGGAAGGGATTGCTGTACCCTTCTCGCGATAAAAATACCTCAGGCATAACCCGCATGAGGGGGTCCAACCCCCCCCTCCTATGTGACCCCGGTTGGGTCGTCTAGNTCAAACAAAAACAAGATGGCTACCAAACTGCCTTGTTGAGCCTGTTACCCACAGGGAAGATATCGTTGTATGCTGTCTGGGAAACCGTAGACATACAGGTAGCCTTTCGCTCACGCTATGGATTCATTGCTAATCTATCTTAGACTTATTTCTATAGATAGAGATGGATTTGTTGTGAAAAAATATAAGAAAACAAATGATAAAAAGGAAATAACAGGTACCGCACCGACCGTTCGAGAAAAGGACCCTCGGAAACCGATCAAAATAAAACAATAACAGAAAATCAAGGAAGACGCTTCCCTCACCCGCCTAAAGAAAAATCAAAGGGTAACGCACCAGCACCAGGCACTACGCACCAGGGCGTGGGAGTCACGGAGCAAACAGGACAAAGAGGCGGCAGATGGGCAGACAGCCAGACGAACAAAAAAAAAGGCAACAACAAAAGCGACATCAAGGTACCCAACGCAGCAGAGTAGGCAGGGAGGACACGAAAAAAAAGAAACACGGCACAGAGGCCGAAGGCAATACAAAGGACAAACACAAAGGAGTATTGCATACAGCAGGGAGGAAAACACGGCGCAACAACATCAACCGGGCACATAGTTCGCCACAAGTGCTGCCTCGGCCGCCCTACTCGCTTCTAAAGCAGTGCCCGGTCGCCGTTTCTTCCCCCCCATCGCCGCTTCCCCGACTCTCTCTCTCTCCGGTTCTGAGATGGGCGTACTCTCTGCTGCTGCTTCCCTCGCGCGCTGGCGCTTCGCGAACGCTCCGCCTCCTGCCTGTGTCATTTCCTCATGCGCCATGCCGCCCCATCCTCGACCTTGTTGTACCACACCTCCGGGTCCTTGACGCTCTCTTTCCATTTCCCCCCTTCCTTGTCGTCTCCCATGTTGAAGGCCACAAGGTCCTCTCCTAGACGAGACACCCAGTCGCTCTCCTGCCCGCCCCGGTATTCCACGCCCCCCGCCATCGCTCCTAACAGCATGCGCTTGGGGAGGCGGCTGTCCTCCATGCGCATAACAAAGTCCGCGAAACACAGTCCCCGTTTGCGCACGGTGGCCTCGATGGGTTCCTCGCAGCCTGCCTGGATGAGGGCCTGGGCATAGCACAGGGGGCGGTCTGAGCGTTTCCGCTTACTCCGGTCGATGCACCGTGTAAGGAACTGGCGGTGGGTCCCATTGAGCTTCGTGTAGTGCTCCGCTGTTAGGCTCCACGAGGCGCACCCATACAGGAGAGTCTCCACCACTTCAGCCTGGAGAAGCCGGATCTTGAGCTGGCGGTCGGCCCGTCGCCTGTCGTACATCGAAGCACTGTTCCGGCGGTAGCACTTCCACGCTCGGCAG